ACAAATGAAAATATGTACAATTCAATTACATACAAAATAATACAAAATATAAGGTTTTACACTCTATAGATTTGCATTTGTAATCTTTCCAAACTGAGCCTAAAAGGTGTAATTGAAAATGAATGAAAATTCTAAAGTGGAGTGAGCATAATGACTATAAGTGTAAAAAATGTTAGTGAAGCCACTTTTCGTCCTCCCTTTATTTGATAAGTAAGTCGCAACAAAAGCTGAGCTTAGATCTCCTACAAGTGAAAACTTGGTGCACATAGCATCCGGTTGCACATTGAGATTATCCCTTGAACATGTACGGTAAATTTATGGAGAGATGTTTCCAATGTACGTTTGGATTCCCAAGCATGTAGAATGTGTGCATAGTTTTTACTTATAAGGAATCTGGTCATGAGATCCGTATTAGAACTTCTTTGAGGTAAGATGAAAGAAAGTAAAGATTAACTGAAGTTATAATAAAGTAAATGTCAGAATTCAACAATTTATTTATTTTTTGTTAATGACATTAAAATGCTTCAAAATTGAAAAATCAATTGGACAAGAATATGTTTTTGACCTTTCGCTTAAAAAACAAAGTCTAACCTTTGTTAATATTTTTATAAGTCATAGTTTAATAATTATAATAATCAAAATAATCATAAAATAAGCTATCAAGGTGAGGAAAAATCGTACATGAAAGAGAGATAGCTTATATTACTATATTAGATAATGTTGGGAACTGAACTAATCTATTTAAGGCCAAGCACAGCCACAAATGTCTTGCTTATCATTTATAGCAATGGAGAATAGCGAAGTCGTAAGATGCTTGCAATTTTTACAAATGGGGTGCCTAATCCATAACTAGAAAAAATGGGATTAGTAAGAACATATAGTAAGAAGGAATTAACAGTTGGGGGTGGATTCGAGTCAAGCCGAGCAGAATAGTATAAGGTTCAAGCTTGGCTCACCGAGGTAGTACAAGGCTTGAGCTTGAGCTCAAGCTTGGTTCGAGCTAGAACCTTGAGCTTGAACTCGGCTCAAGTCAAAAACTTGTAAGCTCGAGCTTGTCTCGACTTGAGCTCGATATGAGAAAAAATATTTTATAAAAATAAAAATATTATTTATTTAGTATTTAAAAAATAAGAATTATAATATTTTTATTATATATTATTTTCTATATATATACATTCGAGCTCGGCTCATTTATTAATCGAGCTTGTAAATTAAGCTCGATTTCAGCTCAAAGATCAGTTGAAATCAAGCCAAGCCAAGCTCGAATAGCTCATGGCCATCCCTATTAACAATTAAGTGAGTAAATCAAAAGAATAGAAGAAGTTGAATGATAAATCATGTAATTAACAAACAAAGAAGAAAATGACCAATATACCACATAAAAAGATGAGTTTGAGGAGGTATTCCCACCCCAATTTATTTGGATTGGTGATTTGGTGCTGCAATGGTGAGTCAAAATATATAGCTACAATTCTAATTTGCTGTTGAATGATCATTTGATGGTGAGAATGAGTTGAGTGCTAGGTATAGTGATGATGAGACTGGATTTACTCTTGCAGATGGGTCAAGCTAGTTGGATATTGTGCAGATCAATTTATATTTGAGAAAATGTCATTTAAAGAGAGAATATGGGGAACTAAATAGTAGGTTATCAAGAGTGGCATATGTACAAAAGAGAATTTAGGTGATTAAGTATGATGAAAATGGAATTAAAGTGAAAATAAGATGGTGGTGAGAATTAAATAGGTTATTAAAGTCTAATATTGGGCATGAGTTGTAATATGAAAATAAGTAATTATGAATTTCAATAATTTTATTTTTGCAGCCACATGAGCATTGCATGAGAATGAAGAGGATTCCGTTTGAGGCTGTGGTGAGAGGACTCTTGGCCTCCACACATTCCTCTTTATACTATAGATATAGATTTTTATTATTTGATAGTATGTTCTTGGGTGTGTGATACACTTGTTTTAATACCATAGAATGCACAACAATTGATTTGTTTATATTCCCTTCAATGTGTTTAGAGTAGGGATGTAAACAGATCGGATCGGATTTGAATCAGGGTATATTCGAATCCGATAAGATCCAAAGATCCGATCAAATCTAATAGGATTCAATCTGAGTTCGAAGCCCATCAGATCTTTGGATCTGATTTGATCAGACTTGTTTTCTTTAATAATTAATAAATTATTAAAAGATAAAAATAAAATATAGAAATTGAAATAAAGAAAAAACAAAAAGTAAAAGTTTTTTAATTATTTTTATTATATATACATGTTTTCATAAAAATAAATAATATAAAAAAAAAATTATAAAAATACAATATAAATAATATATTTATAATAAATAATGTATATATGTATTATATATTTATTTATAAATATATAACACATTGGATCAAATATTCTCGGATCGAATAGAGGGTGATCCGAATCCGACCAAAGGATCGACCAAGGGGTGATCCGAATTCAATCAAATAGGATCCGATGGGATCATGATCCGATCCATTTGCAACCCTAATTTAGAGAAGAACATTTAATAGAACATGGTTAAAGTGAGGTTTTCCCCTTTGATGAACCTTTTTTAATAGTCTAAAACTCCTATCTTACCATTTGAAGAATAGAAGCTAATTTCTGAGTGTTTGATTAGGTGATGCCCGTTTACTTCAAATTGTTCTAAACAGGCCTAATATCACTTTTCAAGCATGGGCTTTTGTTGATATCTCTCCTCCTAATCTATAGGCATCGGAGCCCCTAATCAAAGAAGAATCCAGTTACTTTGAACATGTAGTAGTTACTTAAACCATGTAACCTGTTGCTCAGGCTCTGATACATCATTGTTCTTTTGGTGGTTGGTTAATGTATGGTAGCATTTTTTATGGTTGAAAATAGGGTGTTAATGGATTTGAGGCCTATCAAAGCCATCCGTTAGTTATCACTTTCCAAAACTTTGATTAGCTTTTCTTTCTAACCACAGACCACAATTATTTTGCAAATATAGGATTCAATAATTGATGATAAAAAAAAATATATGTTCTTTAATTTTTTGATATATAATATAATATTCCACAATTCCAGAGTTTTTTCATGGCGCATTTAGAGTTAGAGAGTTGGGGTTGGGTTCTCTTTTAGGTTTTTTTTTGGGCTAAAGGGCATATTTAAGTTAATTTATAGAACTCAATGTATGCTTAAGTCTTATGAGAGAGAGAGAGAATGGTGTGATTAATCATTGAGATAATTAGAGGAGTTAATGAGGAAGCTGGATGTAGTGGTAAGTTAACGAGGAAAGATAATGGGTAAAATGTTAAAAGTAATTTTGTTTAATTTTAATAGAAATGAATAAAGGAAAATTAAAAAAAAAATAGAAAGATAAAGACTCGGTTGAAAAGTAAATTGCACCTAATGTGGACAATGTTGTTTCAGCCATGTAATGGATGGGCTAGTGTTAAAAAGATGACCATGTTTTAGATGTGAGTGATTACAAGTTTCTTATAAAATGGAAAATGAAATGGTTGTGAGTAGCCCATATTTTATTTTTCTTAAATAACAAAATCACAAAATTCAAAAGTGTAAGGAAGCAAAAGAGAGTATGCTGAGAGGACAACTGCATTTTTAAAATAAAGTAATAGATAATAAGAGACCCATGTGATGCACTGAAATGGTGTTAAAATATGCCCATGTTCTATAGGGGAGTGGTTATTACATTTGGTTTCTTAATATAAATTAAGGAAACTAGATTGGTTGGGGTGAATTTAAATAACCCCATGTTTATATTTTTTAAGTTTTTTTTTTTAATTCAAAAAATTACAATTTTTTGAGGGGATTAGTAAACAATGTGGATAGGGATAGCAATGGGGCGGGTTCGGGTAAGGTTTTGTAAATTTTAGATTTTACTCGCCTTCCTAAACCTCTTAACCCATACTCACCCAAAATCCAGAGCAGGTTAGATTTTGGGGATTCAAACCCTCCTTACACATGAAAGTGTAAAACCCTCCCCGACCCTACTCTCCCCGCATTCAAGGGTAGGGGCGGGTTGGGTCTAAAACCCAAATCTAATTTCCTATTATTTCTTGTCACATATATGCAATAAATAAGTACAAATAACACAAATAAATATCAAGATTTCTAATTATTTGATTAAGAAATGTAAAAAATATATAGACTATCAATTATCCTTCACACAAAATTTAAAATATTATTAAATTCAACACCTAGTACATAAAGTTATATATGCTTTCCAACAATATGCGGGTTGGAGAGGGTTGGGTTTAACATAATACCATACCCTATCTATACTCATATGGACTGTAGAATCCCAAAACCCATACCCGCTCCAAAACCTATCATTTAGGCAAAAAACTCCACCCTGTCGGGAAGAAATAGGGGGCGAATACCCATCAGGTAGGATAGAAATTGTCATCTCTAAATGTGAAGAAGAAAGACGTAAACTAACATGCATAAGAATAATTGCATTTTAAGTACATATAGTATTGATATAAAGACATTTTTTTTGTCATAAAAAAGCTTCAACCACTATCTTGGAATTAAAGTGTCAAGGCTTTGGCTTTGAAGGTGGAGTTAGAGATAGAGGTAGAGCAAACTCCAAAAAGCCAAAAGTCGATAAAAATCCAAAGAATAAAAGAACCAAATTTTCATCATCATAAAGCCAATTTACAGTTGGGCCTTTACTTTCTGGCTTGTGCAAGGGTTAAATCTTGGGCCGGCCAGCTTTGGAACGCGGTTTGACTCTCAACGGACTATTCAGTTATTAGTCCTTTTCGCAAAAAAAATCTCATTTCCTAAAATTATCAGTCCTTTGCTGAAAAATCAACTGCTCATGTATAGACGTGGTGGGTGAAGTGATGTATGATGGGGCCACAGTAATGCATCGAACCGCCACGATTACACTTAACTGTTTTAGGACAGTGCTACTCCAACAGAATAACTGATTTCTCCTCCTACATCTCAAGATTCTCAATTCAACTGATTCCTCACTCACCCTCTCCGCCAATTCCCACGTTTTCTCCCTCTCCCTCTGCCGCTGTGCGTCGTGGTCTCTCGTATTCTTCTGCCTCCTTGTCCTTGACCTTGCCCAAGAATTCCGCTCTTTTCTCCTAACCTTCCTAAGTAACCCAGAACTTTCCCGATTATTCTTTCCATTTCTTAGTACTGGTCTCTCTCTCTCAAAGCGGAGGCGGCACGTCAAGGCACTTCAGTAATTTCAATTCTGCTTCTCTTCTTGTGTTTTATATATCTTTCTTGGCTCTCTTTCTTTTTGATCAATTTCTTGGGTCTCTTTTACTTACAAGCGTTTTCGTTTTGGGTAGTCTTGCTTACAGAGTTCACTTGCTACGAAGTACTGCGCTTGCTTGTTTGTGCACTCAGCAATGGAGAACTTTCCGAAGGGGAGGGGGAGAGGAAGAGGAAGGTCGGGAGATGGAGGAAGAAGGGGGGGAAGAGGGCGAAGGTCCCATCACCAAGGTTATCAACATGGCCAAGAAAGTCGTGCGGGAAATCCAAACCCCAACTATCCAACTCAGCAATCGAGTTACCAGCCTATTTCCGGCCATGAAGGATCATTCCGGCAAGTACCCACGTCGGGTCGTGGCCAGTCCGGTGGACCCACGAGGTCGACTCCTGGTTCTGGCCCTGCTTGTGTTCCTTCTGGTGAAGGGTCTTCAAGGGGTTCTGGTCCTGCCTGGGGCGGTAAAAGGGCCGAGAAGGTTCCGATTCAATCGCCCATTTCCGGTAAGCATGAGACAATGTGGTTTTCGCATCCTCATACTGATGGTTGAGTTGTTAGTTTGATTGTTTTTTACTAATTAATTGTGGTATTGTTTTTTATTGATTCTATGAGATGTTTTTATGGTTGAGTATATAGTTTCAATTCCGTTACAATGATGAGTTGGATGTACTTTTGACATTGCGATTTGATTGCACGGATGGTTTGGATCTATTCAACTGTTGGTCTTGTTTTCTGATAATTTGTGGTTGTAAATTCAGTTCTGCATCGCTTTCTTGCGGGTATTCAATTCTTTTTTTTTTTGTGATACATATCCAATTCTCTGTTATGAAAGATTAACTTGCCATTTCGATAGTGTGTCTTGATCAGATCTCTTATTTGATCTATCGGCACGAGTGTCTTTCTAAGTGTTTCTTATGCTTCTCGGAAAATTGAATTTCTATTTGAAAAATGCTTGAGTTGTCACTGGTTTATAGAATATTAATTCATGTATTCGTGCATAAACAAGAAAACTTTGGAATTGAAATGTGCAATTTGTTTGGATTGGGGTGGAAAGAGAAGGGAAAAAAAGAAATTTGAATGAGCTGCTTTCTGAATTTTCCGTTGTTGATTGGCTCTGAAACTGGAGCTGCATGAAATCTGGAGGGTAATGGAACTTTTGAAGTATAGTGGATGGATTTTTTGTGGAATTTTGAACCCACCGGGGAAGATAAATTGTCCACTAATTCTTAAATTCTATCTTTTTTTTTTTCTTTGTGTATTTCTTGTATGTTCCTAGTGCCTGGTGAAGTTAAATCACTTTGACTACGCATTCTTTGGGTCTTCTGTGGAGAAAATGCTTGGGTTGTCACTGATTTATTTTTCAATATATCTGCATATTTTGTAGTTCCAGTGGAATTTTGAATCCGATTGGTGGGGGTAATAGTTGGGTTTTCTGTTGAATCTTCACTTCTATGCATCTTTTGGGTGTTTCTTTTGCTTCCTCTGGGGAAATTGAGATCCATCTGAATATGCATTATTTGGGTCTTCCTTGAAGAAAATACCTGGATCATGACTAGTTTAGTATTCCATTTGTCTCTTTGTTTACAAGGGAAAATGTTGGAATTGACAAGTTCCTTAATATGACTGCAAACTGATTGTATTTGAATGGAATATCATTTACCTAGATCCAAATTCGATCCATTGATATTTGTATTCAAATAGAATCTTACTTATTGGATTTGGAATCTTTGGACATTGCATACCATTAAATTCAACTAAACTTAAATCAGCCTTAATCTCATCTATTTGGGGTTGGCTTTGTATCCTCTCCTGTCTGTTAGCTCTATCAGGAGCCAAGTTTTCGTTTGCGCCTTTAGTCCTATTCTAAAACATTGTTTTTGATCATGTCAGGTCATGTTTTCTTTCGTCTCTTTTCTCTTTGGGTTCCTTCTACTTGCAACAAGTCACTCTGCACTGGTGCAGTCATTTATCATCTGTACACATGACTAAACCATCTCAGCCAATTTTTCTCATATTCTTTTTCATTTATTGGAACTACTCTCAACTCCTTCCTAATGCACTCACCTTTTTACTTGTTTTCTTTAGTCTTGAAATTTTCTTCAATGTCAAAATCCTCATCATCGTTCTGGCTACACTTTTTTTGAACATGGTGTTTCATTATTGCCCCTCTCTCTGTCCCATATATTAGTGCTGGTCTTATTACTGTTTATATAACTTTCCTTTTAGTCTCATTGGGATATGAAAATTGCATAGCGCATTGGATGCACCTCTCCACTTCAACCACTCTGCTCAAATTCTATAGGCCACATTTTGATGATTGATTCTGTCAGATATTTGAATCCGTTGAGGGTTGGGTGTTGATGTACTCTTTTCCACTCTCAGTTCCAAATCCAATCACAGCCTTATAGATGATAGTATGTTTCTTCTTTCCTTTATATTTTCTTGGTGATGCGCTGTTGAAATGCAATTCCGGAATTATAGTTTACATGGAATTCACCATATTTGTAGAGGTTCCTTGCTTGAAGAAGTCGCACAGCATTGAGGGCCTGGGCCCATTCAAAATTTGACAAATGCTCAACCTGAGCCTGCCCAAATTGCAGCCCTACATATTTCTCAAAGAATCACTATGGGTTCACTTTTGTATTAAGGGGAAGAAATCATTGACCAAAATTATTTTGGTGGGTGGGTGGAGGATTTGTACCTATAAATTTCCTTCAGACATTCAACAAAAGCTCAAGTAGCCAAATATTAAATTAGTTCGAGTGAGTTATTTTCGTGCAAAGTCAACGCTCAATTTGGTGACAAGTCCTGTCTGAGAAACAGAGATGTCTCTCTATCTTGCTTGATTTCAAGGCAAGTAATTCATTTACTTTGTTCTTGCCACAATTTGGTATTACCTTAAAGGCACTGTATTGATTGCCTGTCCTGTTTGTATTTTTCAATAATGCAGATATTCTGCAATTGCCAACAATTTTTGCAGAGATAGATAGATTGATGTAGCATGTTGGGTTTTCACTAGTTTTATTAGTCCATGTATTCACCAGATGAGCTTTGGAATTTGGAAGTTCCTTTGTTTCTATTGGGTGGAACTGAAAAGATGGCTAAAAGGTATTTGTTGCTTCCTGATTTTTCTTCATGTTTAAGCTTAACAATGAAGCTGCATGGGATCCAGAAGTGAGTGGATTTTTTGCAGTGTTCTGTGCAGTTTTGACAGAATTTTGAATTCATTTCCATAGGGGTGTTGGTGGCTAGTTATTCTATTCCCTAATGCATCTTCACTTCCATCCACCAACACTTCCTCCCCCAATCTAAATTGGGCATGTTGATAGAATGTTTTTACCTCCTTACTGTGTTGATGTTGAAATTTGATTTCACACTAATAAATGCTGGATGAGTTGAGCAAGGCGGAGAAGTCATTTATCAGATTTAGTGAGGAACCACTTTAGTCTGAGTTTTGAGATCTGAGGGGAAAAACCTTTTATCAGAGTTCTTTTCTTTGGGAGAGGGTGTTTGGAAGGGTAAAGATGAGGAAAGTTGATCCCCTACTTGTACAAATATGCTATTTTCCAGATTTCACCTTGTTAATTTGTTGTGTGGCTCCTAAAGTGTTCTGAAAATGAACTTGCTTGGAATCTGGGAACAACAAATTTTTGAAACATTTTCTATAGTTTTTTTTTTTTTGATAGGAAGAAATATTTTCTATAGTTGTGACAGATTTTTCAATCCATTGGATGGAAGCTAAGATGTCCTACATCTCCAACTCCCCCTGCCCTTTTTTGATTTTTAACTGTACCAAATTTATTGATTATGAGAAAAATTTATGTTCTATATTGTATACTATCAAATTGGCCTAGCTAATCTAGTCAACCCTGTTCTTTACATCATTATGTTTCCCTTCCCAAAACAAATGTGTTTTTCTCATCCCTTATTTGGCAGATCTTTGTACCCAAGCTACTGTTATCTTTCATCTCCAAAGGTAGATACATGATTTTTTTTTTTTTTATCTTGTTCCCATAACATTAGCATGCTTGCTTGTTGTCTCTTAATCAGCCCATTGTTGTCCTTGAGTCCCATTCTATAATCAAGTTACTGACATCCAGTAGCTTACTGATGGAGGATGGTTTGACCCGACCTACGAAATGGTGACGTGTGGACCTGACTCAGCACAGGTAACAGTTCAACATCGTGGCTTCGCAGGAAAAAGTAACGAGCCCTTAGAGCAGCTCGCTACACCGTAGCTCGCAAGAAAAGGGGTTCGCCACAACGCGAGCTCCGGGTTCCCCGAGCTACCTCGAAAGGGACATTCCGAGGCAATTTTAGCTCACGAGCTAGGGAAACTAGCTCGCCCAAGCCCCCGAACAGATAAGTCATTATGAGGACCAATTTTACTAAGGGTGATCCTGAAGCACCCCGAGCTCGCTACAAAGTAGCTCGGGAACGAGCCGTATGAGCGCTTCTCAGGAAGCTTCTATCTGACACCGAGGACCAATTTTACTAAGGGTGATCCTGAAGCACCCCGAGCTCGCTGCAAAGTTGCTCGAGAACGAGCCGTATGAGCGCTTCTCAGGAAGCTTCTATCTGACAGGCCGTATCGATCAGACTGCGCCACTTTCCTTACTGAGGGTGCAATCCCTATCCTTTCGACAGTCTGCGTCCACGTCTCTCGGCAGGCGGAGGTGTGCCTACCAATTCAGGGACGTGTCACTCACCTAGGCGAGAGGTACGTCACAACGGCTGCCTGCGCAGCCCTGATAGGTAATGGCTGTGATAGGAGCCCAGTGGCGGTTGTGCCCGACTTGACACGAACACCCCTATAAAAGCCCTCACGACAGGGGAGAATCTTCTTCTTGAACTTCTGATCTCTTGAATATAGTGGTAACGCGCAATCTGCACTGTTAGCCTTCGTTTACCCTTTGCTTCTCACGCAGGATACTGACTTAATCATCGGAGTGTTCCTGCCGGGCAAACCCCCCGGGAGTTCTTCTTCTTCCTTCTCATCTCAGGTACCTCTCAGGAGCCACGTGTGTGCCAGTTAGGAGTGACCGGATCGCGCTACATCATTTGGCGCCGTCTGTGGGAAGCGCTTTGAAAAGCCTTTCTCCAAACTTTCACGTCTCATTACTCTCTAGAAACCCAACACTCATGGCTTCCTCCAGCAACATCGGACGAAGCACGGAAATGGATAACTCCAGGGAACAACCCCAACTTCCTACTGTCTGCATTGGACAGTTTACCGTCCCCCTCTCGGTGGACGGAATTCCCAGTTTGAATGTGCCTCTTGCAGTGGCACCCGTCGTCGCGCCACTCCCCGCTACAATCGGAGCGACGTTCACCGAACCTTTGGTCGTGCCCCCAGCGGCCAGCATGAACCAACTAGAGGACCTGACGCAGTGCATGCGGGCCATGCAGGCCCAAATGCAACAGTTCCAGCAACTTCAACTCTATCAACAGCATGTGCTACATTAGGTCTCTTAGTACCAGTATCAGCAACAGTTTCCCCAGT